CAAGTGCATGTGGACAAGCAAGACGAAGGTCAAACTGGTGTCAAGGTCACAATCATAAAGAGAGAGTGGCCAACATCCATTTATTAATAAGCATTGCACAGCCTCAGATGCCTTCAATGACAAAGACCCTAACGCTGCCAATAGGTCCTGCTACAATAAGCACTTCTGGGAAAATTAGTCAAGTCATCACCGTCATGGGGTCCAATTTTAACTTAGAATTACATCACAAATATATGTATTTTTTAGAAATATTTATATTATATACCAGACCTTCAGAAATATGATCTTGTCAAGCTCAAACATTTAAACTGATTTATTATAACTTAACAGTTAACAGAGCAGTGTGGAAATAAAGAGCTAATCAGTGAGTGATTGGAATTGGCTTACATGAGAATGTCAACTATATGGATGTGTGTAACCATCTGTTGAAGATTTCATATCATCATGCCAATTTCTGCCTTTATATCAAACGGGTTAAAGTGAGACGAATCAAATAATAATACTTATTGATGACCGTGCTGCTGTTTTCCCACCAAATTATGTCACTTCCTGTAGGATGATGCCACTATACACTTTTGTTTCAGTAGGTAAAGGGATATTATAAAAGGCTGAGAGGATGAGAGTTCGTTACAAATACAAATAAAAGGTTTTCCCCAGAAAAATGAACAAACGGTAATAAATTCCCATTTTTAATGTTAGAAACGTGGGGAAAATATTTAAAATTTAACACATATCGTCACTTAATTGTAGCAATGTGCTAAAAAGAAAACAAAGCTTTTAATTTTTAAAATTGTGAGATTAATAGGCACTAAACCAATAATATTTTATCATTATAATTTACTCTTATCTTTATGTTTTCAGTTTTCATTTTTATTTTAGTCTAGGTTATAGCACTTTTGTTATGTTTTTATCATCACTGTCATAGTATTTTAGTATTTAACATTGTTAAAATCATAATCATATCAAATCATATGATAACTTGAGAGTATAAATACCAAGTTAAAAAATAAAAAAAAATGGTTGCTTTACGTGTTAGATAGATGGCCTGTTCCTGTCTAAAGCTACAAAACTACACCCTGAACAGACGTTGTGCCAACAGTCAAAAGTCGAAGACCAGAAAGACGTCTGCAAAAATACACCTCAAGCTCTCATTAGAGTAATGTGAAAAACGAATAAAATTTGTCTTGTTTTGCATGCATGAGATGACTATCATCACAGACAGATTGTGGTTAGCCTCCGATGTACGGCTTATTATACACCCAGAAGTATAAATCACCCACAAACCAAATTGTCAGACAATATTCTGTTTACTCTAATTGAAATTCTCATTAGATTCTATTCACAATGCCTGAATCATATTTAGATTTGGCAGAATGACACATACGCCATGAAAAGTAGAGCCAGAGAGCATTAGCGATTCACAGGACACCGGGAACAGCATGGTGAATTTTGCCTCCAGCTGGCCGGCACATTTTCCCTGACCCCCCCCACCGCCGAGACATGAGAGAGTAAATGGAGGCCCTGTCATCCGGAGCTGTTCCGGGATAATAGGAAATCCCAGGTCGGGGTGGGAAACCCTGTGGTGCGAACGAGACGAGTCATCGCCATTTCCTCCGATGCGCTCGTGACAACAAAAGATGTCTCACCTAGAATAGGCAGCGAACCCAACCCGAATGGAATATATCCAGCGTATTAGAATACAATGGAACAGCATTTAATGATAAGAATGGAACAAAATGAGCCGATGGAGGCTCTGAATTCAGCCTCTCCGGACACATTCGTGTGGAATTGGCTTGTTGAAATGTAATCAGAATGCTATGGGTTTTGGTAATGCCATCTTGTTCTCGGAAAAAGCTTGGGATTTATCATCTAAATACCATAGTAAATGTGCACTGCCATTTTGAACGAAGTCTCTTATGTTTGTAACATGTTTTGTTTTATTATCTTGGTGTTTTGGATTCCCTGCCGTCAATCATCTCGTCACAGTTAAACTGAAATGAATTTCCTACCGTTTCGGAGAGTAATATTTCAGCACATGAATCTGCCAGTCATGGGTCTCTCATGTAGAGTCTCTCATAATGATGCATTTAAAAGACCAAAACTATCTTTACATAAGTTCACAATGCAGTTCCAGATGAAATATAATGTGGACGACATTGATTTTTTTAAACTCACTGACCTAAAACTTTGGAATGGGTAGTGTATATGGTAATCATTCAATACTATGGTGAGGTCAAAGTACCATATTATGAATTATTAGTTTTTATCACATGTTGTATTTGCATTACAGTAATTGTAATTAAAACAATGTTACAAAGCAAAAAATCTAGATGGTCCTAAAATAGGCCTGGTTTGCTTTATGCAAAATATTATTTCTTATTCATTTATTTTTGATGGTTGAATGTGAGCTGGACATGTTTTTGTGAGGTTTATATATTAAAACTGCATCACAACTGGTGCTATTATAATTCCATCACAGTCACTCATAATCTTCACAAGGGCCTGAGCCGAGGGACTATAAAGAAGAGTCTCCGGCATTAACAGAAGAAAGCAAGGAGAATACAGTCCGGAATAAGGAGAATGCAGGATGCTTGACTGATGGAGTGTGCACTGGGAAATATATCTGACAGAATACATCTCTGGCCACTTATTAGAGATTCTGAACGTCGACGGGAGGAGGCAAATACTTCACGTAACCCTAAGTAAAACTAAACCTTATAAATAAGGTATATACAATACATACATAACCTCATGAACATGTCTTGAATTTCAGAATTAATAAGTTACAAATAGACTGAAATAAAAGGTAAAAATGATTCAATTAATTTTAATTAAAATTATTATGTGTGGAGTGTAATATGATCTGTCCTGGACTACATAAAATTTACCAAATATTTTTATTTTATTTTTCTAAAATAATTTACACTCAATCAATCAATAATATTCATTTTGTTCAAATATATTTGCATTTATGCATTAGGAAGGCACTTTTATACAAAGTGGACGCCATGCTCATACTCAACAAATCGAAGTAATTTTTAGTTAAATTAATTAAAGTGGATAATAATAAACAAATATTCAAATACATTTGTTTTAATTAAATAATAATGTGTTCAAAAACATACAATTGTAAATCCATTTTTATTTTAATAATAATATATAATACATTTATAAATTTATAAATAAAATAAATAAATAAATTAATGAATATTTGTAATTCATTAATTATAGTTAAAATAATTAAAGTGGAATATAATATAAAGAACTGTCCTGAACTACATAATGGTCACTAAGCAAATTTACATTAATTCATTAATTATTCTTTTTGCATACATTAAATCTGTAACCAAAGTGAATTTGTTTACAAAAATGATTTTACAAAAATAACTAAATAAATAATCTCTCTGAATAATTTTGGTCAAATATAGTTATTAACTTTGATCATTCTTTAAAGCGGAATAACAACACAATGCATTCACAAGTATTTAAACAATGTGATGAAGGAAACTATTTTAGCATGCTACAAATAACACATCTCTGTAATTTCCCACCCTACTCTCAACGTAAATGCATTCATCTTCTTCCCCCGCTCTTTTTCTTGATTACCTATGATTTAACCAAGTTCGGAGTTATGTCTGCCTCATTATGCTAATGAAAGCTTTTTTCTGGTTGTGCTCCATGCTTGGCTAGCAGAATGCGCTGAAGTGCGAGAGCAGGAATCGGGCTCTTCCCTGCTGATCTGGCACGCCATCAGCATCCTGTCCCGCACAATATAATGATCAGGGCCCAGGTGACACAGACACACAACCAGCATACTAGAGATCCAGCCGCGTATGCTAATGTTTCAACGCCCACTCGTCAAGCACAGCGCAGTGAGGGAAGCGGCGTAAAAGTTTACAAGGGGGTGTATCAAACAAGAGAGAACGCATACAAGAAAGGACAAGTTGCTATGGTAGATAGTGATGGACAGGCCAAGACACAATCCACATGTAGAAATCAGAGGAATTTCAGTGGAAATGATTTAAACATGATGAGAATACTACATTACACAAGCTAAAAGCATGACCAAATTAGACTAAATATACTATAGAAAGAGGACATTCATAATTTATGAATTAATATTGGTGGGACAGAAATTTCAGGGTGAATCCTTACTAAAGAATTAGTTCACACACAAAATTGTATTACTCACCCTAGAGGTATCCCAGGTGTATATGATTTTCTTCTTTCAGCCAAACACAATCTGAGTTATATTAAAAAAAATATCATGGCTCTTCCAAGCTTTATAATGGGAGTCAATGGTAACTGAGATTTTGAAGGCCAACAAAGCACAACCATCATTAAAGTGCTCCACACGGCTCCAGAGGGGGGCAACAAAGGCCTTGTGAAGCGAAGCTATGCGTTTTTGTAAGAAAACCATTCATAGCTCTAACTTTATAAACTATAATCACTGTCTTTCGGTATTGGTCATACATCCGGCAGAAGAATAAACATTTCGATTCGTGATTTCAGTCATCATACAGCAAATCCCCCACACAACAAATCTTTTTTTCTTGGATTTAGGCAATTAATGTGGGTCATAGGCCTATGTTTCAGGTTGGAAAACCTGTAAATCCATATCAATATGAAAAAAAAAATCACATCCCTGTATCCATTTGATTTTTTTGTCTTGCATTTAAGTACCCTGAATTTACTTTCAGAGTGTTGACACGTCTTCATATTGACCTCTACAGTTCAGATGGAGTATCGCAAACTAATAATGTGACTCAAACAGGTCCATATGGGAACACATGTGCAATTCTCAAAGTCTACCAGCTGAAAAGTCCCCGAGAACCCCTTTAAAACCATCAAACTCCACGATCCTGACCAGCCTAGAACAGCAAACCACCTTAGACAGGTTTATGCTGTTTTATTTTTTTGTTGTTGTTTTTTTTCCCCTCAGTCAATAGCACTCTCACATAGTGGTTTGTGAGAGCCTTTATCTATTGGGAGTTTTTGTATTATGCTGAGAGACAGCTGAACGCTATGAACTGTGTCTTATGTGGGTGTATTACCTGTGCTTGCGCCTCCATTCGAGCGTACTGCACCAGCATCGGCTCTCCGTGCTTCTGCATGAAGTCTCTCTGACAGCGCTCCGCCAGCGCCGGCTCATTGGGGAGAAAATTACTGGCCCAAACCTGGAGATAGAAACAGGAATAGCATGAAGACATGAACCTTGCGTGGGATGTCTCGCTAATCAGACTCTGTAGCCACAGATAAAACCTTCAGAAAATCTGTCAGGGACACACACACACACAAAAACATCCCCCCATAGTAAAATAAGGCTATAAAAATAAGTAACCGCAGGCCTGTTTTTAACGTTGCATTTTCTTAATTAATAGCGAAGCATGTGGCCAGCGAAGCACAGAGTTCATGGAAACCCGATCCAATTATACTTCGCAACTAGTGGAGTTGGAACTTGGTGATAACATTTCTCTCATCTTTAACCTTGTAGAGATGATTTAGGGATAGTGATTGAAAAAGACACTTTAAAACATTCATCTTTCCAGGCGCCGAAGACTGTTGGTGCTGCCCAGAGAGAATTCTGAAAACAGATCCAATACATCTTCAACAAAAAACGGGTGGTAAGAGAGATTCTGTTTTTCCGATTCGTTTTTCCTCACCACCAGAGTTCCCACAAGAGCTCTCCATTCACGTATCTTCCTGAGGAAAGAAAACTCGGCCATTATTCACTCCTGAGACAAATGAGATTTTCTGCATAGGGAGTTTTGGTTTTTTTCTAGAGTTTTTGGGAACTCAATTTCAGCAATTTAATCTAGTGACACACATGCCTTCGGAAGATTTACAATGAATTTAGCACTCAATTGTTTGCAATTCATAGTACATCAAAATCAGTCCGCCGTAATCACACACACACACACACACACACACACACACACACACAAAAAGTCCCTTCTAGCTATAAAAATAACTAGAACCGCAAAGCAGGCCTGTATTTAACATGCCAGTGAAGCACAGGAGCTGATCATACTTTGCAACTAGTGGACACTTCGCAACATACTTTGCAACTTGTTTAGCCTTGTAGAGATCTATGATATCCAAATATGTGTGGAAGCTTTTAAAGGTTCTCTTATGAGTTTTTAAGTTTTGATTTGTAGACTGCGGCGAAATAACCTGCTGAAACCCCTTGCTGTTTGGGGAGGATATGGTATAATTGAGAGCATATTGATGTATTGCATGGTAACACCTCTCAAGTCTAGTTCAAATAAGTCGCAGAACACAAGGAAAATTAGGGTGCACCAGGGGTAAAAGGCGCTTCTGATTTTATTTTTCTCTGAACCACTAGATGGCACAAAAACTTGACGCAGCACTTTCCGAAACATCCGTTTTCCATGATGCACATAGAAATTTGCCTGATTCTTGATGCGATCGCGGGCAGCAGGGCAAAGTTGATTCTGTGCTAATTTGATCTAATATTTGATGTTTTTTAAATTGTTGTGGATTTAAGATACAAATGAGAATCGCTAAAATGATTGAATATATTTTGAGAAAAAGGTTTTCATAATGACTTTCAGTTTTGTTCAAGGTAATTAAAGCAACAGTTTTCCAGTAACGGAAAAATATGTAAAAGTATATGGTATTTGGGGTAAAAGGCAGCCCCTGCTGTCAGGGCGAAAGTCACAATAATTAACATAACAATAAACAACCGTCTTACTTTTCCATTTGTTGACATGGCATGGTTAGATTCAGTTGGTAAATAGGGTGCACAATATGCCTAAAACGGAGAAGTTTTTCCTTTGAGTTTTCCGCGTACAGCTGACACTATTGTCAAAATGACCCACATTCACACGGATCTGCGAAAACGGCTAAACACGCTGTAGTCTGCTGACATGCCAATAGATGGCGATGAAACACTATAGACTGAACACGTAATACGCATGTGGATGAAGTCATAGATTTGCGTTCCGTTTCCAAAAATTTGCACTTTGAAACTCGCACACCGCCAGACTTGCCCTCTTGGGACCCAGGAACAGAGGAATTTGCCCTTTCTTTGAAGTGCGGGTACTACTTGCTCCACTTCCTTTTGGGAGCAGCAGTGGAACAAACACGCACACAAACAAAGACGAGTGGAGAGGGATTGGATCAGTTGTCCAACTCTAAGAGCATCCTCCATCCCTGAGCGGCCCGTTCTGGAATGCTTTCGCTGTCGCTTTCCACTTGGCTTGGCAGCGCCTCGAGCGGGCTGGGCGTCTCTACTGGGGCTGGCTCCAAGCTGAGGCCTGGCTGGAGGCTGTTGCGGAGGCCCAGCGGGAGTGGTGGCAGGGGAACACCCTCGGCGACGAGCAGGTGGAGGAGGTGCCACCGGCGGCAGGGTTGAGGCAGGATCAGTCAGCCGGGGCAGGATGTGCCGGATGACCTCCATCTGCACTTGGGCGGCAGAGAACTTTGCAATGTAATTCTTTGCCGCGTCGGCGACCTGCCCAACCTGCGAAATTGGGGAGACCACGTATGTCCATATCAACCAGGCTGAGCCAAGAATGGCACTCCTGGACCACTAAGGTGGACATCGCCAGACATATCGTGCATGCCACGACACTCGTGCCCCGGAGGGCAAGGTCGGAAGCACTGCAGTGCTCACCTATGAGCACACAGTCTGGGCTACCCTCTTGCATGACAATGGGTGCCCGGGCCTGACAGACCTGTAGCAGTGCCATGGCATGCAAGATAAGGCGGCTTGTCCACAGGGTTTTGTAAGCTCTGCCTGTCGGAACAGACGAGAACTCACAGGCCTTAGTGGGGAGACGAGTATCCCTCCAAAAGGTAGCGGCCGCCGGACACAGGTGCACCTGTGTCGCGACAAACCGTTCCACTGGAGGGATAGCCTCACAACCCTTCACCACTCCTCCATCAACGGTAGTGAGGGGGAAAAGCTATTTACGCAGTTTCTGGCAGAGAAAGGTGTCGTCCACAACCTAGTAAGCTCTCCATGCACTTCGGGAAAGAAAAGCACTGGGGCGGCGAACTGAGAACCAGCGCGGCCCGCCCCAAGATACCAATCCTCCAAGGGTTGGAGGGTTCCACTCAAAGGCAAAGGCAAAGTTATCATCCAGAGGGAGATAACACTGCCAACTCATCATCTCCAGAGGCCAGCTCACCCTCCGATGCTGCTATTGACATCTTATCCTCTGGGGGTACACCAATTGAAACGGCTGATCGGTCCATTACAGAGGGACCAGCACGTCTAACAGGAATTCCATCGGCTGAGGTGTGATGGAGGAGTGAGGAGCCCACAGGGAATGGTTACTGGGCGAGACATCCATCACTACCCTCCGATCACCCATCCCACACAGCACCCGGGGGTGGGGCATGGTAATTGGAACTCGCTCTTCGCGGACGAAGGCGTGTCTCGATCTCAACACAGCAACAGTCATATTCCCGCAATGGGAACATGAACCGTCCACAAAAGTTGCTTCAGCGTCCAAACACGTGATGCAACAATTGTGACCGTCAGAGAGGAAAAAGTGAACGACCGCATCCAGAAACGCACAGGTGGAATGCATATTGAAAAAGACGCAAAGGCTTTTTTAGGAAATAGGACCCGTCACCAGTGCCGGAGCACACAGGGGAGTGACCGCGGCAACACTGAACAGTGAACTGAAACAGTGAAGCACTGACTTTTCCACCCTTTAACCAGCCGTCAACACACACACCTTAAGAAATTTGTTGCTGTTAAAACCACCAGCACTGGACGAGTCTTCCAGAAGAACACTGACACACTCGACGTCGACTACGTCTGACGTTCTCGACTGAAAGTGAACAAAAATACTCCGATAACTCTTTGATTAGAGGCAGGGAACGGAACAACCAAACTTCCAGCCCATTCTCACCCCCAAGGCGTCACTTAACTGACGCCTTGGGAAGCATTTGGACATGCTTCAATATCTGACGCTTTAGGCGTGTACCCTACCCCCACCCCACACCTAAACCTAACAGCGTCCTCTAACTGACGCTTTCCTTTAGCGTCAGTTAGATGACGCCGTAGGGTCGTGTCATGTAAGTGCCAATGCAAAGGGCGCCTAAAACGTCAAATATTGAAGCATGGTCAAAGGTGACGCCTTGGGGTGAGAATGCGTTGAAACTTCATAAGACCAAGAACTGAACAAAACACAGGTCTTAAATGAGTGAACAAATCAAAAAAAAAAAAAAACATCAGGTGCAGCTAAGCAATCAAGGAGACAAATGACAGGGAAAAAACAACTCATAGTAACTCAAATAGATTAGAATAGATTTACTTTATTGATCCCACAGCAGGTAAATTCACTTATTACAGCAGTTCCAGAGAGAGAGAGAGAGAGAGAGAGAGAGAGAGAGAGAGAGAGAGAGAGAGAGAGAGAGAGAGAGAGAGAGAGAAGAGAGAGAGAGACAGAGAGAGAGAGAGAGAGAGAGAGAGAGAGAGAGAGAAGAGAGAGAGAGACAGAGAGAGAGAGAGAGAGAGAGAGAGAGAAGCAAGAAATTTAAATAAATAAAAAAAGGTAAATAAATACAGTTGTAATAGATATGGGACTGATAATAAAAAAGTGCTACATAATGTATTAAAGAGTCTGACTACCGTTATAAGACAGATAACAGATACAAATACAGATAACACATCAGAAGAACCCTGACATAATCGTCATATTTATAATGAAACCATCATATTTCGAGGACCCCCTCGAAAATGAGATGGTTCATCTCAAGGAGCTATCCTTGAAACAAATAAAATAAAAAATAAAAATTTAGCAATATGATATTAATCTTATATAAAATATCATTTATTGTTACTACTGTAAATCTATTTTAAATAATTATGGGATCTCCTTCAATGCTTTGAGAAACTTTACTTTTTAAAATAATATTGTTAAAATGATAAATAAATAAATATCTTAATTATTACAAACTCTGAACAGTACAGTGATAATTAGGTAATTACACTTTACAGTAGAGTTCAGTTCATTAACATGCATTAGGTATCAGAAACAAACAATGAAGAAAATGTTTTACAACATTTATTAGTCTACATCAATTTCATTGTTAATGACGCCAAATATTCGTGTTGGAACAAAGTACAATAACTACATTAATTATAATCTCATGTAATTCAGTGATATTTAATTTAACTTTATTTGCCAAAAATGTA